GACTGCTTGTGCTAAGGGACATGACGCTGTGGCGGAAGTGAGTCATTAAAGACTATCAGACCTAAGAAGAGCTTGCCCGGACAGAAGAAAGAAGTAGCAGGATTCTAAACAAAAGGAAGTTCTCTCCAGCTTCTCTGCAGAGGGGTGGGCATGGAAGGAATGGAACCTCCCCAGAAGAGTGAACAGAGAGAGAATCTGTTGGTCCAGCCTGTAGTGATGCCGCCTCTGGCAGGACGCAGTCACAGCCCCAGGCTGTGGTTTACCTTTAAGGCAAACCAAACCAGCCAGACAGAGGACTTCGGTTTCACCCCACTGGCTAACCATAAGTTATACAAGCAATTCCCTTAGACACTCCAGTTTCCCAGTATAACGACCGGTGCCACTCGTTATGGGGACGAATGGTTATGATAACCAATACCCCAGTAAAAGAAAAATGGTTCTCCTGATTCCAAAGGACCAAGCTCCAGACCCAGGTCAATATACACGTCAGATCTTACCCACAAATCACGCTGTTGCCAGTCCTCTAGAATCTAAAATCTAAAGGTTCATAAAAAGAAAGAAATACAGATGAGAGCTAGAATTGGTTAAATGCAATCATTTACCTACAGTAAGGGCAAAGTTCTTTGTTCACGCTTCTAGCAATGATGGAATAAACTGTAGTTCAAATCAAGTCTCTGGAACATCCACAGCTGGGATGGGTCATTCAGTCCTTTTTTCAGAGCTTCAGTTTGCAGCAAGGTTCCTCCAGAAGTAAGACACAGGATTGAAGACAAGATGGAGGGGTTTCCAAGGCCCTTTATATTCTCTGCCCACGGAAGGACACCCCTTTGTTCTTACTGTGGAAAAACACAGCAGCAAGATGCGGTCTGGAGTCACATGGGAAAGTCACATGTCCATGCATAACTCAGTTTGCAGGCCGACACCATTGTTTACATGTTAGTTTGAACATTCCCAGGAAGGCTCAGATGTGGATTGGCGTCTGGCAAAGTCCATCGTCAGTTAAGTGTTTCTTGACTGGGCACTTACTGAGACTAGTCGTTTCTCAAGAAGCTGACCAAATGCTTCACTGGTGCTACTTAGAATCAAATACATTTGAGATACAAGTACAGAGCCAATATTCATAACTTCAAATACCAAATGATACACCCATACTGACAGCATAATCATAACCAGCAAATCATAATGTTTTATAGACACCTCGCACGATAAACTTTGTACCATATTTGCTGCAAATATATAACAGTGGTTGCAACAATGATCTATACAGTCACAGTTTATGTCAATAACATCACACTAACCATAAGAAATTCCCTTAGTCACTACAGTTTCCCAGTATCACCACAAGGGCCACTCGTTATGGGGATGACCGGTTATGAAAACCAAATCTCCAGGAAAATAAAAAAAAAATTTCTCCCAATCCAAAGGACCAAGCCCCAGACCCAGGTCAATATACAAATCAGATCTTACCCATAAATCACGCTGTTGCCAATCCTTTAGAATCTAAACTCTAAAGGTTTATTCATAAAAGAAAGAAATATAGACGAGAGTTAAAATTGGTTAAATGGAATCAATTTCATACAGTAATGGCAACGTTCTTGGTTCTGGCTTGTAGTAGTGATGGAATAAACTGCAGGTTCAAATCAAGTCTCTGGAGTACATCCACAGCTGGGATGGGACCTTCAGTCCTTTGTTCAGAGCTCTGATTATGAATCTATCTGTATGTGGGCCTCTGAATGCAAAGCCAGACAGGCCAAAGAGATAAGGAGCAAAAAACTGCAGGCGCAAAACCCAGAAGCCTAGTCAGGGACAGAATCACGGCCAGTTGAATCCCTGCAGTACATCATTGTCTTTTCGACCTGGTCCTGGTCCTGTCCCCACTGCCCCCCCACCTCCCAGTGTTTTGTGTGCGGAGAGACCGGACATTGGGCAGCCGGGTGTCCAAGCCAAATAACCCTGGGTAACCAAGAACAGCTCCACCTGGTGTCTCAACCAATTGCCAATCCTTATTCACACCTGAGTAAAGAGGAAATGGCCAGGCTTTTAAATTCCATGACCCGCTAGGTATAAATCCCTCGTGATATAAATCCCTTGAGGCCACACTTACAACCATGAATAAGGGTCTGGCTATGCACAATTCTCGTGGACCCGGAAGCGTCTGTTTCCATTACTGACCTCCTCCTCCCCACTACTAAAAAGTATATTACTATTTCAGGGATAGGAGGTGCACAACTCATGGCTTATAAAAGCTACCCTGTTCTTAAAAAATCTAATCTATTCTTCTGGACTGTCTTTTTTTTTTAATGTAGCTTCAAATGCAGAGGAGACTATTTGGGGCATGGACGTCCTCTGTGACCTTGTAGCAATTCTTAACCTCGCTCAGAGTACAGTTACCGATAAACTTATGTGTACTCATACCATCCTCCTCCGCAATGATACATTTCTTTCTTCTGATACAACTGCCAAATCTTTGGCTCTTACTTGGAATACATCTAACCCTTTTCAAGAATTATGTTCCACGTTCCCCTCTGTTTGGGCAGAAAATAAGCTGTCTTTCAGTTCGATCCCTGCTCATCTTTGCCCACCCATCCAGGTTACCAGTCAATTTCCTCCACCTACCAAGCAATCCCCCTCAAATCTGAGGCCATAGACGCAGTAGGTAACATTATTCACTCTTTACTTCAGCAAGGCATACTGGTTCCTTGTAAAAGTGCACCCTCCTAAGCCCAGGACCCTCCAAAGACCCCCTCTTGGGCAGACGTACAGGCGGGAAATCAGGTCATGGTATTGGCCATACAAATATCTCTGTGAAAGTGCAAGGAATTCCAACATGGGTTCATAAAACCAGAATTAAAATGTATAAATAAATTCATTTTGTTTTTATTGTATCCTTTTGGGTAACAAATGTCACTCCCCATGTTAATCCTCCTGGCAAACGTACGTGATGCAGCCTCCTGGGATCTGCCCTTGGTATATGTTACGCAAGATACCTGTTTCAAAGCTGGTCAGTATGCGCAACTCCCTACAGGAGGCAGCGGTGAATGGGTAAAGAAACCAGACACTTGGCTTGTCCCCAGACTGGACCACCTGGGACCTATCATGGTTACAGCTCGCCTACAAGAACATCTGGGCCTGGACATGCTATGAGTCCTAAACAAGAATCACACGGAGAAATGCACCAGCTGAATCAACCCAGCTCCCAGCCTTGTACCTTAAGAATATACCTAATATATAAGGTATATATATGAACTGGTTCACCATTTCATGAATGGAAAGTGTTTATACACCAGCCTCTGTAAACCTGAGCAGATTTACCAAACACTTCAGACAAACTCACTGACAAAGATAAACAGTAAAAGAAGTTTATTGATGACAAAAGACAGATTTTAAGTGATTATAAGTGATAGGCAAAAAGTCAGAGTGATTATCGAGAGAAAAGAAAATATAGGCAAGCAGTCTAAACAATCAACCCTTTTAGACTGGGCAACATCTAGATTAAGCAGTTTTTCTCACCCCACTGGATATACATGTTTCTCCCTTGAAACCTGGGCCAGTCTTCTCGTTGGGAGTCTTCAGTCTTCCGAGTGTCATTGTTGCTTGCAGCGTAGGTGGGAGAAGAAGAAAGGCCCAGCATGTGGCTATTGCGTTCTGTTTTATACCCTTGGTGCATGTGCTTGGAGAACACAAGTCCAGGCATGTCAGGAGGGCATTGCTGAGTCTCCAGGCAAGGTTGAGCAATTCCCTTGCTGTGGCCTCATGCAGGTGAGTCATTGAATTGTAGCTCCCTTGCTGGACAATGGCTGGTGATCATTGTTTGACACCAGCCCGGGGACTGGTTACTTTCCTTGCCGTTGCCTCTGGGGAGCCAATGTCTGGCTGATTCCCCAAATTACAGCATGTTTACTGACAACCATACATCACAATCTTATCATTTCATATGCACTAATGATATAGACGTTTAGATAGAACAGTGACTTTCACCAGGTCATAAGCTCTCCCCTGATACCTTACATGGCATGCTTTATATGCAATATCACAATTACATGTAAATGAGAAATATGGGGGTTACAGGGAATCCCCGAGGTATAGAGTGTCACATGATGCACATTCAAAGTGTCAGAGAGTAGGAGGTGTGTGTGTGCGGTGGTGGGGGTGAGTTACATAGGAAAGTGAGAGATGGACCAAAATGCATGGGCAGAGCGAGAGTTTCCAAGGGAGAGACAAACCACCTCCCTGAACCCAAACTGTGTCTGCCTGGTTCAGGGAACATTTACTTCAGGGCAACCAGGCTGGATCAGTCCAGGAATCAGAGCACTCAAGGAAACACTGAGGGCAGAGGAAAATGGGCCACATTTGGGTGAAGAGAACATCTTGTGGACACCTCCCCTCAGGTTTGGGATCTCCCAGCCCATCTCCCCTTCCACTCATAGTGGAGGGGCATTGGGGAAGGAGGTGGGGCAGAGAGGAGGACTTGGTGGAAGAGGCAGGTTACGGGGCACGGTCTCAATAGTCCACGCACCAGCACTTATAAAGTGGATACCATATGAGTTGTACAAAGACAAATTCCCCAGTTTGTCACGCTGACAGAGCACAGTAAGGTCAGGAACGGGTTTAATGTCTCTTTGGGCTGGTCTATACTGGCAGGGGAGAATAGCGTAGCTGAAGTCCACGTATCTTTTTTCAACTTACCTCCCGTCCTCACGGCATGGGATTGACGGCTGCAGCTCCCCTGTCGACTCCGCTACCGCCGCTCGCCCTTGTGGAGTTCCGGAGTCGACGGGAGTGCGTTCGGGGATTGATATATGGCGTCTAGACAAGACGCAATATTTCAATCCCCAATAGATAGATCGCTACCTGCCGATCCAGCGGGTAGTACGGACATATCCTTTGACTGCCCAGTAAGTGATTCAGGGAAGAGGGTCTGGCAGCCAGTGGAGCTCAGGGCACCATGTCACCAGCCAGTGGAGCTCAGTCTGAGAGTCAAAGCACAAGGAGAAAAATCTTTAGGTCCCTTTATGAGAAAAGAGCCGGAGCAGCCTGTTCCGGATCTGTTTGGTTCTCACCCCATAGATGATGGGGTTTAGCATGGGGGGCACAAGGAGGTACACATTGGCAATGAGAATGTGGAAATGCAGGGCCAAATTGTGCCCAAACCGGTGCATGAGGAAGGAGAAGAGAGATGGGATGTAAAAGATTAAGATGACACAGAGGTGGGAGCTGCAGGTCCCAAAAGTCTTCAGCCGGGTGTCCTTTGTGGGGAGGCTGAAAATGGCCCTGAGGATCTGGATATAGGACACAGCGATAAAAAATACATCCAGACCGGTCACCAAAAATGCCACAAAGAGACCATAGTAACTACTGATGTGGATGTCGGTGCAGGCCAGCTTCACCACGGCTATGTGCTCGCAGTATGTGTGGGGGATAATATTAGTTCTGCAATATGGCCATTGCCTCGCCAGGAAGGGATAGGGCAGTACAAGCATGCCACCACGCAGCACCACAGCCAGGCCAATCTTGGCCACCACGGGGTTTGTCAGGATGGTAGAATGTCTCAAGGGATCACAGATGGCCACGTAGCGATCCAAAGCCATGGCCACGAAGATCCCAGACTCCATCACTGAGAAGCAGTGAATGAAGTACAATTGGGTGAGGCAGGCACTGAAATTGATCTCCCTTGAATTGAACCAGAAGATGCTCAGCATTTTGGGCAGGGTGGATGTGGACAGGACCAGGTCGGTGACAGCCAGCATGCAGAGGAAATAGTACATGGGCCCATGGAGGCTCGGCTCCATCTTCACGATGAACAGGATGGTGAAGTTCCCCAAGATGGCTATGGCGTACATTGTGCAAAAGGGGATGGAGATCCAGATTTGGGCCATCTCCAGGCCAGGAATGCCCAGCAGGATGAAGGTGGAGGGGTTAGTGAAGTCGGTTGTGTTGGAATCTGACATGTAGCAGGGGAGAAATTCCTGCATGTACCTTATGTCCCTTTGACTTTCTTTATGTGCCCAGGGTCTACGATGATGGTCGCAGGACAAATGCCTGGATGGAGACATAATGTTAATATGAGACACTACATGCACAACATCTACAGTAGAACCGTAGAGTTACGAATTGACCGATCATTCACAAATCTCATTTAAGCCATTGGGGGGAGGGATAGCTCAGTTGTTTGAGCATTGGCCTGCTAATCCCAGGGTTGTGAGTATAATCTTTAAGGGGGCTGTTTAGGGAACTGGGCTAAAAATCTGTTTGGGGATTGGTCCTACTTTGAGCAGGGGTTTGGACTAGATGACCTTCTGAGGTCTCTTCCAACCCTGACATTCTATGATTCCATGAAAGAGCAGAAGACCCAAAACAAAAAAGGCAAATACAGGACTCTTCTGTATTAAACATAAACAATTAAAAATATGAAAGGAACATTATTGAAGTCAACGAATGGCTATGCAGGTAATGTCGGAGAGAAGGCTTTGGATTCTTCGACCATGGGATGGTGTTCCAAGAAGGAGGAGTGCTAGGCAGAGACAGGCTCCACCTAAGAAAGAGAGGGAAGAACATCTTCACAAGCAGAGTGGCTAACCTACTGAGGAGGGCTTTAAACTAGGTTCACCGGGGGAAGGAGACCAAAGCCCTGAGGTAAGTGAGGAAATGGGATACCGGGAGCAAGCATGAGCAGGAGAGTGCAAGAGGGGAGGACTCCTGTCTCAGACTGAGAAAGCAGGACAATCAGCGAGTTATCTTAAGTGCCTATACACAAATGCAAGAAGCCTGGGAAACAAGCAGGGAGAACTGGAAGTCCTGGCACAGTCAAGGAACTATGATGTCACTGGAATAACAGAGACTTGGTGGGATAACTCACATGACTGGAGTACTGTCATGGATGGATATAAACTGTTCAGGAAGGACAAGCAGGGCAGAAAAGGTGGGGGAGTTGCTTTGTGTGTAAGAGAGGAGTATGACTGCTCAGAGCTCCGGTATGAAACTGCAGAAAAACCTGAGAGTCTCTGGATTAAGTTTAGAAGTATGAGCAACAAGGGGGATGTCGTGGTGGGAGTCTGCTATAGACCACCAGACCGGGGGATGAGGCGGACGAGGCTTTCTTCTGGCAACTAGCAGAAGTTACTAGATCGTAGGCCCTGGTTCTCATGGGAGACTTTAATCACCCTGATATCTGCTGGGAGAATAATACAGCAGTGCACAGACAATCCAGGAAGTTTTTGGAAAGTGTAGGGGACAATTTCCTGGTGCAAGTGCTGGAGGAACCAACTAGGGGCAGAGCTCTTCTAGACCTGCTGGTCACAAACTGGGAAGAATTAGTAGGGGAAGCAAAAGTGGATAGGAACCTGGGAGGCAGTGACCATGAGATGGTCGAGTTCAGGATCTTGACACAAGGAAGAAAGGAGAGCAGCAGAATACGGACCCTGGACTTCAGAAAAGCAGACTTTGACTCCCTCAGGGAACAGATGGGCAGGATCCCCTGGGAGAATAACATGAAGGGCAAAGGGGTCCAGGAGAGCTGGCTGTATTTTAAAGAATCCTTATTGAGGTTGCAGGAACAAACCATCCCGATGTGTAGAAAGAATAGTAAATATGGCAGGGGACCCGCTTGGCTAAACAGTGAAATCCTTGCTGATCTTAAACGCAAAAAAGAAGCTTACAAGAAGTGGAAGATTGGACAAATGACCAGGGAGGAGTATAAAAATATTGCTCAGGCATGCAGGAGTGAAATCAGGAAGGCCAAATCACACTTGGAGTTGCAGTTAGCAAGAGATGTTAAGAGTAACAAGAAGGGTTTCTTCAGGTATGTTAGCAACAAGAAGAAAATCAAGGAAAGTGTGGGCCCCTTACTGAATGAGGGAGGCAACCTAGTGACCGAGGATCTGGAAAAAGCTAATGTACTCAATGATTTTTTTGGATCTGTCTTCACGAACAAGGTCAGCCCAGACCACTGCACTAGGCAGCACAGTATGGGGAGAAGGTGACCAGCCGTCCGTGGAGAAAGAAGTGGTTTGGGACTATTTAGAAAAACTGGACGAGCACAAATCCATGGGGCCGGATTTACTGCATCTGAAGGTGCTAATAGTTGGCGGATGTGATTGCAGGGCCATTGGCCATTATCTTTGAAAACTCATGGCGATTGGGGGAGGTCTCGGATGACTGGAAAAAGGCTAATGTAGTTCCCATCTTTAAAAAAGGGAAGAAGGAGGATCCAGGGAACTACAGGCCAGTCAGCCTCACCTCAGTCCCTGGAAAAATCATGGAGCAAGTCCTCAAGGAATCAATTATGAAGCACTTAGAGGAGAGGAAAGTGATCAAGAACAGTCAGTATGGATTCACCAAGAGCAAGTCATGCATGACTAACCTAATTGCCTTCTATGAGGAGATAACTGGCTCTGTGGATGAGGGGAAAGCAGTGGATATGTTATTCCTTGACTTTAGCAAAGCTTTTGATACGGTCTCCCACAGTATTCTTGCCAGCAAGTTAAAGAAGTATGGGCTGGATGAATGGACTGTAAGGTGGATAGAAAGCTGGCTAGATTGTCGGGCTCAACAGGTAGTGATCAATGTCTCCATGTCTAGTTGGCAGCCGGTTTCAAGTGGAGTGCCCCAAGGGTCGGTCCTGGGGCCGGTTTTGTTCAATATCTTTATTAAAGATCTGGAGGATGGTGTGGACTGCACTCTCAGCAAGTTTGCAGATGACACTAAACTGGGAGGAGTGGTAGATACACTGGAGGGTAGGAATAGGATAGAGAGGGACCTAGACAAATTAGAGGATTGGGCCAAAAGAAACCTGATGAGGTTCAACAAGGACAAGTGCAGAGTCCTGCACTTAGGACGGAAAAATCTCATTCACTGTTACAGACTAGAGACCGAGTGGCTAGGCAGCAATTCTGCAGAAAAGGACCTAGGGGTTACGGTGGATGAGAAGCTGGATATGAGTCAACAGTGTGCCCTTGTTGCCAAGAAGGCTAAAGGCATTTTGGGCTGTATAAGTAGGGGCATTGCCAGCAGATCGAGGGACGTGATCATTCCCCTCTCTTCAACATTGGTGAGGCCTCACCTGGAGTACTGTGTCCAGTTTTGGGCCCCACACTACAAGAAGGATGTGGAAAAATTGGAAAGAGTCCAGCGGAGGGCAACAGAAATGATTAGGGGTTTGGAGAACATGACTTATGAGGAGAGGATGAGAGAACTGGGATTGTTTAGTCTGCAGAAGAGAAGAATGAGGGGGGATTGGATAGCTGTTTTCAACTACCTGAAAGGGGATTCCAAAGAGGATGGATCTAGACTGTTCTCAATGGTAGCAAATGACAGAACAAGGAGTAATGGTCTCAAGTTGCAGTGGGGGCGGTTTAGATTGGATATTAGGACATGGTGAAGCACTGGAATGGGTTACCTAGGGAGATGGTGGAATCTCCTTCCTTAGAGGTTTTTAAGGTCAGGCTTGACAAAGCCCTGGCTGGGATGATTTAGTTGGGATTAGGTCATTCTTTGAGTAGGAGGTTGGACTAGATGACCTCCTGAGGTCTCTTCCAACCCTGATAGTCTATGATTCCCTGATTTAAAATAAAAGATTTGAGAAGGTTAGGAAACAATGGAAAAGCTGGTATTGGAGTAGTTAAAAAAATAGTCTAGGGATATAATTAATGCAAGTCAGCAACATGGTTTATGGAAAACAGGTCTTGTCAAATACAGCGGATTTCATCCTTTTATGAGAGTTCGTGGTTGGCTGATCAAGGGAACCGCACAGATGCAATAACCTTTGATTTCTCTGAGACATTTGATTTAGTAGGGGAATCTATGAACACTATTCAGTATCAGTAGTGCACACGTAAAAGGCACTAGAAGCTGGCTGATTGAGAGATCTCAGAAAGCAGTTGTCAATGGGGTCTTGTTAGTGAATGGTGTTGTTTTTATTGGGGTTCTGCAGAGAGAATTTCTAGGCCTGATGCTAGTCAAAGTTTTCATCCATGATGTGGAAGGAAATGGAAAATCACAGCAGATGATCCAAAGACTGACAGAGTGTTTGCAATGAGGAACCCAGGGCAGGCACACCAAATAATCTGGAGCGTTTCTGGGCCCATGGGAAAAATATTTTAATACAGTCAAATGCAAAGTGATCCCCTTGGAACAGAGAATGCAGGCCTGACCCACAGACTAGGGCACTGTATTATGAAGCGTAGGGACCATAAAAAGGATTCAGGAATCATTGTGGACACCCAGCTCATCGTGAGCTCCCAGTGCAATGCTGTGGCCAAAAGGGCTGATGTGATCCTTGGATGCATACAGAGGGTGGGGTGAGTTGGAGCAGGGGAAGGACTTTACCTCTGCATGTGGCATTGGTTAAAATGACTGCATCCAATTCTGGGGTCCGCATTTCAAAAAGGATGTTGAAAACTTGGAGAGGGTCGCGAAAAGAGCCACACAAATGATTGGAGACTGGAGAAAATGCCTCACAGAGCAGAGAGATTTCAAGAGCTTCATCCACTTATCTAATGAAAAATACGATCAAACGGAGACTTTCCTGGGGAGAAAGCCCTGTGTACTAATGGGCTCCGTAATCTAGCGGAGAAAGGCAGAGCAAGGCCCAATGGCTGGAAACTGAAGCCAGACAAATTCCCGCTGAAAATAAGGACCACATTTTTAGCACTGAGGGTGATTAACCACTGGAACAAACTGCGAAGGGAAGTGGTGGATTTTCCAGCTCCCCATGTCTGGAGATGAAGACTGGAGGCTTTTCTGTAAGATCTGCTTGAGGGCTCATCTACACTTAAAACACTACAGTGGCACTGCCGTAGCGCGTCTGTGTAAACAGTACTCATAGTGATGTCAGGGGTTCTCCCATCAGCTTAGTTCATCCATCTCCCCGAGGGGCGGTAGCTGGGTCGATGGAAGTATTCTTCCATTGACCTCATGCTGTCTGACAGGTGTGGATTTTTTTTCTGTTGCA